CTGTTTGTTGTTGGGGTTTTTGTCTGCCCGGTACCCCACAACTGTTTAACCCCAAAGAAAATCACACATAGGTCTCCATAAATTATAAGCTGATTGGCCCATTAGCTCTAGCCTCTCAGTGGCTAACTCTCACTACACCCACATTCCCAAAAAAAATGGATTATGGATATTTTTCTTTATATTTTTTTAAAAAGAGGGGGAAGTGGTGTGAGAGAATTGTCTGTATTCTGTCAATCATGTTTTAAATAAACGCTGATTGGCCAGGCAGGAAATATAGGTGGGAAAACCAGAAAGGAAGTAGAAATGATATAATGAGAACAGGAGAATTCTGGGAAGGAGGAAGTTGATTACTCCCACTCCTGCTGAGACCATCGAAGCAGCAGGATGTGATTGACCCCACTGAAAAGAGGTACTGAGCCACATGGCTAACATAGATCAGAAAAATGTGTTAATCAAGATGTGAGAGTTAGCCAGTGAGAGTCTAGATCTAATGAGCCAATCAGCTTATAATTTATGGAGACCTATGTGTGATTTCTTTGGAGTTAAACAGTTATGGGGTACCAGGCAGGACAAAAACCCCCAAAACAAACAGGACCCAACAAACAAGCCAGCCCTTCATGTTACACTCTTATCTCATTTTCTATTGGACAAAAGAATTCTATCTCTGGAACCTGCTAGGGCTTGAGAAATTCTGGTATAAGGATATATATGACTGGGAACATTTATAAGGTATGGAACAATGTAAAAGAAAGTGTAAGAGAGATCAAGGAAAAAATGATAGAAATGAGAAAGAAGAAGAAAAAAGAAATATGAACGAACAACTCCTGTTGTGAGTTGATTTCTTACTCCTCAGATCTTTACCCTCAGATTTCTAGTCACACTTTAGCTACTCATGGCATCTTTAATTGAACTGTGAAAGGGAGCCTTAAGACAAAAACTTTTCAGGCATTCTAAAAGACTCAACTATTGGGATATAGATTTTCAGTGCATATATATATATATATATATATAGGTGTACAAACTGTATGAGGTAGACATTGGTCCTTACAAATTGCACTGCTGGATCAACCTTACACCTCCCTTTAGAGTAAATCCCATGGGTCCCTGCCCCATCCACACTGGGATTATCACTGGCTTGATCTTAGGTAGATCGTGGGAAAAGAGAAAATCAGTTTTCTTCAGGAACGAAGGCTCTGTGTCTACCCATGCTTGAGTAGTACATCGTCCCACACTTGTGCACATGCAAACAATACTAAATGATTTCAATGGGTGTTAAATTTGAAAAGAAGCCTACAAAATCAGTAATTTATTTATTCCATTCAGTTTTATCAATGAAAAAAGTAAATGAGTGATATTCTTAAAGAAAAGTTTTAAAAAGTTCAAAACAACCTACTCACTGTATAAACTCTTTATCCATTTATCTACATTTCGATCTAATTCTTTGTTTGGATGGGAACTGAATTACCAGTAACTTCTCCTTACCTCTAGAAGAGAAAATTTCCTCCAGAGCTTCATGGGATGTTTTCTTGTCAATCAACATTGAGGATGGTGTCAGTTACATACAGTGTAATGTGCCTGAAGATGAGAACAAACACAAGGACTTTGATGGATGAGCAGAGGGCAGAACAGAACCCCAGCATTGAACAGATGAAGTCTGACTGGTTAGAATATGGGTGGGTGAGAAAAGAAGATAGGTATAAGTAAAGAAAGAAAAGAAGGAAGGAATGTAGGAAGGGAGGAAGGGAGGGAAGAAGGGAAGGAGGGATGGAGGAAGAAAAGAAGGAAGAAAATAAAGGTGTTTCTGCTTTTCCTTATCTAATATAACATTAGCTATATGTTTCTCATGTAGCATTTATTTCTTGAAATAGAACCCATCTATCCCAATTTCTCTAGGTTTTCTTTTATGAAAACATGTGGAATATTTATCAATTCCTTTTCTATACCTTTTCTGTATGATCATGTGATTCTAGCCTTAAGTTTAGTCATATTATGAAATCCATTTATTGATTTGCATGTTGAACCAACTTTGTATTCTTTGGATGAAATCTACTTGGTCTTGGTTGTTATTGTCATTGATGAGTGATGCTGGATTGTTTTTTTTTTTTTTTTTTTTTGAGACAAGGTCTCACTACATAGATAACAGTAGGAGAATTTTGGGAAGAGGGAAGACTTAGTTTTTAGTCACCAGCCAGATTCAGAGGAAGCAAGATGAGAATGTCTCACTGAGAAAAGGTACGAAGCCACATGGCTAATAATAGATAAGAATTACGGGTGAATTTAAGTTGTAAGAGCTAGTTAGTAATAAGCATGAGCTAATAGGCCAAACAATTTATAATTAATATAAGCCTCTGTGTATTTCTTTGAGACTGAATGGTTGTGGGACAGGTCAGGACAGAAACTTCTTTCTACAAATGGTGTCCAAACCTTTGGCAAGAATTTTGACATAAAGTCTGAGAAAACTTTTTTAAGAAGGATTCTAGACAGACCAAAAAACAGTCTAGCACAGCTTCCTGGTATTATGTTTCCTGTTGGCAAGCAGAGGCGCAGCTCTTTAAGAGAGACTTCCTGACACAACTTTAAGGAAACTCCAAACTGATTTCCATGTGTAGTATGCTAATATGCACATTTTCATCAATATTTAAACAAGTCTTTTCTTTCCTCTCTATTTCTAAGCATTTACTGTTGTTTTCCTTGATGGCAGCCTTCCTGAGTGGGAAGAGATGGAATTTCATAGGTAGTTTTGAGTTTTATTTCCATAATACTACATACGTTGTTTTTATTTTCATGCATTAATAGGACATTTGTACTATATTTTTGAGATATTCAAATCATTGTTTCACTTATGGATTGGGTTTCCTCAAAGAGCTCAAAATAAAACTGTCACATGATCAAGTTATATTATGCCTCTGTGTAGACATAAAGACACCTAGGTCAATATACAATGGAGAAATGTCTGCCACCATGGCTGTCAAGCAACTATTGCTTTAGTCTGTTTGTAAAATCAGCCACAGAAACCACTGATAACTTTAATAAATTGGTGAAATGCTTACTACATAAATGATTGAAAATTTTCAGCTTTAAAGAACATAATATCTAGATTTGCACTCAAGCATTGGAAATGGAGATACCATATTAGGTGAAATAAATAGGACAAAAATGGCAGGGACTGCACATGAAAAAAAAGAAATAAATGACACGAACATAACAGGGGAGCAAAGCAGACCTGAGTGAGGCAGCAGAGAGAGTACAGAGGGCACAATGCTGACAGTGAGACCAAAGTGCTCTATGCACAGGGAGGAAGAGGTCACAATCTTTTTCATAAAGATATTCAGAGGTTAAAAAAGGCCCTTTACCCTGAAATTATTTCCTGTAATTTTTTTCTTTTTCTTTTAGTTTCTCTAGACAGCGTTTCTCTGTGTATGCCTACCTTTCCTGGAACTAGCTCTGTAAACCAGGTTGCCATAGAATTCAAAACAATACCCCATGCCTCAGTCTCTAGTGTTGGAAATAAACCATGCACCACCACCGCATATCTATTTTCTATTGCGTAAAACAATATAACATCATTCTCTTACAGTATTATTTGATATGCATACTTTATTATTGTGCATGAAGTATGGTGAAAAATATAAAAAGGAATGAGAGTTTCAAAAAGAATCAAATAATCAATAATCCACATAGTTGCACACAACAAAAATGTGCTTGTCTACTTGCTTCATTTCAACTTATCTTAAATCCATCACTATACACAGAGAAAAGCAATAGAGGAAGAAAATAAAGGAGGGGTGGCAAACTGAGATAGTAAGACAGAAGGACATGCAGGCAGGAAGAAGGAAAAAAAACAAAAAGAAAGGGAAAGAACACGAAACTAATAGCAATGAACCTACTCTCTGTCAGCAGTTACCTTCTTACCTGTGTTCGCCTCTGTTGAACTGTTATATGACAGAAATCTAAGCATGATTCTCCTGGTGAGCCCCTCAGGGCAGGAAATATCAAGACCATTACACTCACACATGTGCGTGCACACACACACACATACACACAGAGAGACACACAGTTTGATATCTTCTTATGCTCATGTATTTACACTTCCATATCATATCTCTAGTCTAGCCTCATAAGGAACATACTGTGCCATATATGTATACCCCTAATGCTTCTGAAACACACAGGTGAAAGATAGGTAAACAAAGACATATCCGGGCTAAGCTGATGTGAGAAATTATGTATAAGAGTAGAGATACTCAGCCACTCCACCCCTGTGAACATAGCACCATCGTGCACATACTATATAAATTGAGGACTGTTGCAGAATATTAAATTACACTGTATGAAGACGTGTCATGCGGTTGTTTTATAAAGATCTGAATGAAGAATAACAAGCCAGAAAAATTTAGGCAGAACTTCTGGGGAGAGATAGTCCCAGAGAAGAAGTACAAGTGTTGCCAGCGAGATACAGAGGAAGCAGAACATGAAGGAACAGTCCTAAAAGTCATAAGCCATGTGACAGCACGTAGATTAATAAAAATAGATTAATTTAAGTTATAAGAGCTAGTTAGAAGCAAGCCTAGGATAAGGCCAAGCTTTCATAAGTCTCCATGTTGGTTTTCATGAGCTGTCCCACCACAAAGATCAGACATAATGAAAACAAACAGATACTCTGATGCTCCCAGGACATGAGGGGTACCCTGTGACCAGAAGATGACCAGGGATACAAGGAGACTGGTAGTGCAATACCCTTCCATTTATTTAAAAGGTTCATATGAGTTATTCTGGTAGAAGAACCAGATTAAACTTTCCAATGATGCATAACATTGAGCAGCACTTCCTTATGAAACATGTACTGAGTATGAAAAATGGTGTAAACAACATCAAGGAAAAGTCTTACTGATTGGTTCAAGCCTTGAAGAACTGACATATAAAAGGTCCAAAGTGCAAGACCCCATCATATTGTAAAAAGTTCACCTGTTAACAGGAACCCTCCAACCACACCTAACACCATGACCAACTCCTGCTGCTTGCCTTGCTGCCAGCCTTCCTGCTGCACGACCACCTGCTATAAGCCCACCTGTGTGACCAGCTGCTGCCAGCCCTGCTGCAAGCCCAGCTGTTGCAAAACCACCTGCTGCACAACCACTTGTTGTAAACCAACCTGTGTGACCAGCTGTTGCCAGCCAAGCTGCTCTAAACCCAACTGCTGCAAGACCATATGTTGTAAGCCAACATGTGTGGCCAGCTGCTGCTGTGCACCCTGCTGCCAACCGAGCTGCTGTGAGACCACCTGCTGCAAGACCACCTGCTGTAAGCCAACCTGTGTGACCAGCTGCTGCCAGCCCTGCTGCAAGCCTAGCTGTTGCGAAACCACCTGCTGCAGGACCACCTGCTGTGAGCCAACCTGTGTGACCAGCTGCTGTCAGCCCTGCTGCAAGCCCAGCTGCTGTGAAACCACCTGCTGCAAGACCACCTGCTGTGAGCCAACCTGTATTACCAGCTGCTGCCAGCCTTGTTGCAAAACCACCTGCTGTACAACCACCTGTTGTAAGCCAACCTGCGTGACCAGCTGCTGTCAGCCCTGCTGCAAGCCCAGCTGTTGTGAAACCACCTGCTGCAAGACCACCTGTTGTAAGCCAACCTGTGTGACCAGCTGCTGCCAGCCCTGCTGCAAGCCCAGCTGTTGCAAAACCACCTGCTGCACAACCACCTGTTGTAAACCAACTTGTGTGACCAGCTGCTGCCAGCCAAGCTGCTCTAAAACCACCTGCTGCAAGACCATATGTTGTAAGCCAACCTGTGTGGCCAGCTGCTGCTGTGCACCCTGCTGCCAACCGAGCTGCTGTGAGACCACCTGCTGCAAGACTACCTGCTGTAAGCCAACCTGTGTGACCAGCTGTTGCTGCACACCCTGTTGTCAACCCAGTGTTTGTGAAATCTGTTACTGCCAGCCCTACTGCTGCGAGCCCTGCTGCTGTGAGCCCTGCTGCTGTGAGCCCTGCTGCTGTGAGCCCTGCTGCTGCGAGCCCTGCTGCTGTGAGCCCTGCTGCTGTGAGCCCTGCTGCTGCCAGCCCCGCTGCTGCCAGCCCTGCTGCTGTGATTCCTGCTGCTGTCCAGCCTGCTGTGAAAATACCTGCTGCTAGACCTCCTGATGTAAACCAACTCATGTGAACAGCTGGTGCTTCCAACCCTGCTGTTCTCCAGCTGCTGCCAGGCCTACTGCTCATCAACTTTCCAACTGAACAATGCCCAGACAACTGTCCTTGTGTCTCACCAGTCTTGCCATTTGGACAGAAGCTCCCATCATACTTTGAGGCCTATCAGTCACCTTGATGGAATGCAAGTCCACTCACTCTCACTCTCATTTTCTTTCTGTAAGGAGCCTAGTCCACAGCTTCTCCTCTGATTCTGGATCTTCATCTTCCCCTCTGAACAACTGAAAAAGAAACTTTATATAATATCAAAAATGTATGAACATTCAATAAAAATTCTGGACTGTTATTTATTCTATGTTGTCTGTCATTATTACCCTTTGATAAATCACTTGATACTTTATCATACAAAGACATTTTTCTCCTATAAATAAAGGTCTTTTTCTTTCCCTCTCTTTCTCTCTCTGTCTCTGTCTCTCTCTCTCTTTCACACACACACACACACACGCGTGCACACGCACAAAAAAAGTTATAAAAATCCATCCCAACAGGAGCATCTGCTCCTCCTAATCTTCTATCAACAAACCAAAGCAGGATTCTACCAGAGTTGCCTCTGAGAAGTCAATGTTTTTTGGACTCCCTTACACAGTACAAATGAGGGACTGCTTACAGGTATGAGGTTGTGTCTCCTGATAATGCTATATTGCAATGTCTTTCCCTAGCAGGGTTGATGTCTTTCGCAAACCTACAGAGTAGGATTAGCACATCTAGTCTTCGCTGATCTAGATGATATAATCCCTACTCTTACAGTTAAAGGAGAGTTGCATACAACTTATGTCAGGGAATAGTTAGACACTCAAGTGTGGCACCCCTGACCCTGCCATCTCTCTGTGAGGGATGTAAAGAGTAACTAAGCCCAACTGGGAGAAACTCTTCGAAAGGGCCACAGTAGAATAATCCAAGTGGTGATTCTTTGGCTCAGAGAACAGAACTGTAACACACACACACAAACACACACACACACGCCATCCTTTAGATCTCTGGAACAATTGGAAGCAAACAGCAAATGTCTATCCACTCCCCATGTACCTTACCCCATACCCTGAAAGAAACTTCTTGGTTCTTTCTTCCCTGACTCCTACTTTCAGACAAGTCATTTGAGTGGAATCCCAGAGAAGTGGTCTTTCTGTTGTGCATTTTCATCCATTTATGTTTGATGGGTGCTTGGGTTTCATGACTGACTTCTTGACTATAGGATTGACATATGATGTGAGAGGATCTTCCACAAACAGAAGAGTGCTACTCCTTCACTTCTTCCTGCAAATAACCTGAGGTAACCTGTGAAAATAGTTTGCTACTCTCTTGACCAAGAAAGTCTACAAAAGCATGCAATTCAAGAACTTCAAATTGACACTCATGAAACTGACTGGTGGTTAAAAAGGTGACACTGGTCAATGTGTGAACGTCAAACAGTGGAGATGAACCTGATGTGAATGGTGTAAATAGGATAGTTGATTCTGCTGTTCAGGCTTAAAAATGCAAAGACTAATGTTAAAATCTACAAGCCACAACATTATATACTAATTTCTCAGACATGCTGTGGGACAATAGTCTTGAACTTTGTAAAGATTTTTAACTTGTGTTTTAATAAAACGCTGATTGGCCAGTAGCCAGGGAGGAAGTACAGGTGGGGCAACCAGGCAGGAAGTAGAGGTAAAGTGACAAGAACAGGAAATTTTGGCAAGAGGAGTCAGTCTGCAGTCGACAATGAGGAAGCCAGATGAAGAGGAAGCAAGATGAGAATGCCTCACTGATAAAAGGTAGCAAACCATGCAGCAAACATAGCTAAGAATAATAGGCTAATTTAAGATGTAAGAATTAGTTAATAGGAAGCCTGACTAAGCAGTATATAAATAATGTAAGCCTCTGTGAGTTTCTGTCGGACTGAATGACTGCAGGACTGGGCAGGACAAAATCAACTGTCAACAAATGGCACCAACATGGATAACTAAATCCACTTTAAACCTGAGAGAGTTTGCAAAAGAAATTCTAGCCACAAAAAGAACAGAGTTAAGCATGGCTTCTTGGTAGCAGCATTTCCTCAGGTGGGCTCTGTTTGCTAGAGGCAAGCATGTCTCATTTAAGAGAGGCTTCCTGACTCAGCTTTAGTTGAAAACACTATCGCAGCCCTTTTAAGAGGCCTAGCCAAAAAACACATAAATGTTGTTTATCAATAGCTAGCAGCATACTTTTTGTTGGTGGCAGGGATTTTGAAATGCCTTAGAGTATTGCCAATTAACATGGCTCTGGCCAGTACCTCCACCATGAGGCTAGACTCTCAGAAAGCTAATGATTGGGTTGGATCAAGCCTTCAAAGCAATGGCTTTAATCCTAGCCATATCGTTTAGCAGATTAAAGATTTATGTGGTCAGAAAAAGAGAGATATACAGTAATGATAGATTCAGATGAAGAAAACCTCTAAATGGTTTACAGTGTGTTTAAAAATATGTGTAGGCTTGGGAGAGAAAAGATAAAGGATAAAGTCCATAAAATAATAAAAGAAGAAAGAGAGTAGTTGGGTGTGGTGGCACACCTTTAATCCCAGCACTTGGGAGTCAGAGGCCAGTGGATCGCTGAGATCAAGGTCAGCCTGATCTACAGAGTGAGTTCCAGAATAAGCAACAATACACCAAGAAACTCTGACACAAAACACACCAATACTTAAAAATTAAAATATAAGAAATAGAGTTAAAAAATATAAAGACACAAAAAAGTAGAAGATACACTGAGAATCTGGATACTGTATGTTATTGTCTTGTCTTTGAATTGTTTGTTTAGGAAGGAGCAACAGCTGCTAAAAGATATTTGATTATAAATGCTGTTAGATTAATCTAACATATGCATTTTGAAAATATCTTGACTTCAAAATTTTACTCTAAAGATATGTTACTTTGGAGAAGAGCTTTTGTTTTTGCTTCCCCAGGAAGTGAGAGACTTTGGATTCATTCTGAATTTGAAAACAATCAGTTGTGATTGAAGAAGACCCCCTGAAAAATCGCCAAAAGGAGTGCATGACCCAGATGATCCAACATTTCAGAACACCTCTCTTGCAGTTTCCTCTGAGTCTACACATATAACAGCCTCAAGACTGCTGGCTGAGATGATCCAGAGTCAAAGAACATTCCAGTCAGGACTTGACCAAAATCCTAAATTGGGGGGGATCCCACCAGATTATCAGCATACCCAATCAGTAGAAAGAAACCCAGAAAATTATGCCCACATTTCCAAAATATGGATAATGGATGTTTGTCTTTGTTTAAAGTATTGGTTACAAGTGGTTATGGATAATGGTCAGAAAAAAAGGTAAACAAAGAAGTTTAAATTCAGAGTTAATATTTTGATAAGAAAAAAAAGGGGAATTGCTGTGTTTTAATGCTCTTGTACGCTGTAAAGGTCTGTCACTTGCATTGATTTAATAAAAAGCTGATTGGCTAGTAACCAGGCAGGAAGTGTAAGTGGGGTGACCACACTAGGAGAATTCTAGGAAGAGGGAAGACTTAGCTTGCAGTCATCCAGATGCAGAGGAACAATAACCTGAGAAGAGTAAGAAAAAATTATGTCTATTCATGTTTCTGTTATTAAAAGGTTTTGAAAATTTGTCAGAAAACTCTTACATTTAGCAAACAGTTTTAATTTATACAATATAAAATCAACACACAGAAATCAATAATAACCCTACTGTAAAGGAAGTTATGTAAATCATTCCAGTCACAGTAGGTCCACACACACACACACACACACACACACACACACAAAAAGATCTTTTTTTTCTTACACATGAATACATTTTAATAACACATATTTTGTTGTTTTTCTGACTATGTAGATTTTTTATATATGTTCATATTTGAAAGCTACAAAAACAAAAACCACAAATAACTTTCTGTAGCTATTTTTCTTAGTCCAGTGTTTCTGCACCAGGAGCAGTGTTTGCCTTACAGGAATGTGTAGCAATACTCTTGATTTTCAGAGCTGGGAATGGGGTGGTCCCCACGTCTAACAGGGAGAAGGGTTACCCTATGGTGCACAGCAGAGCCCCCCAAAAAAAGATCTTATAGATGAACTTCACCAAGGATGTGAAGGAACCAGTATAATGAAAACTTTAACAGGCTAAAAATCAAAATTAAGAAGATCTCAAATGTTGCAGAAAGCTTATCTATAGAAAACACGAAAGTCATGGGCATAGGCAGTAAGATTCTCAACAGCTCTTCAATACCTCAGACAAGAACAGCTAGAAATGGAAGATGTAGCTACACTAAATAAATAGCTTCTTCGCAAGTAAGATACAATGAACAGATAAAAGACAGACAACAGAAAGGAAAAACAGAAGAAAACCCATTCCCAGCTATTCAACCAGTGTATTCAAGTCTTAAATACACAATTATTTTAAAGATTAACAACAAAATTGAAAGTAACCCAATCCATAGTGAAACAATTATTTTAATATTTCAAAAATATAGTACAAATGTCCTGTAAATGCATGAAAAAACAACATAAGTAGTCATCAGGGAAATAAAACTTAAAACTACCTAAGAAATTCCATCTCTCCCCACTCAGGAAGGCTGCCATCAAGGAAAACAACAGTAAATGGTTAGGAAACAGGGAGGAAAGAAAGGACTCTTTTAAGTCTTGATGAGAATGTGCATATTAGCATAATATCCATGGAAATCAGTTTAGAGTTTCCTCAAAGAGCTAAAAATAAAACTGTCACATGATCCAGTTACATTACTCCTCTGTGTGCACTTAAAGTCACAAAGGTAGATATACAATAGAGAAATGTCTGCCACCATGGCTGTCAAAAAACTATTGCTTTATCAGGTTGTAATATCAGCCACAGAAACCATTGATAGCTTTAATAAATAGGTACAATGTTTACTACATAAATGACTCAAATCTTTCAGCCTTAACATAATATTTAGATTTGCACGCAAGCATTGAAAATGAAGTTAAACAATATCATATCATTCTTTACAGTGTTATTTAATATGAATATTCTATTACTATGCATGATGTATGGTGAAAAATATAAAAAGGAAAAATTAAAAAATGAATCGAATAATCAATAATTCACACATAACAAAAATGTGCATGTCTACTTACTTCATTTCAACTTATCTTAAATCCATCACTACACACAGAGAAAAGCAGTAGAGGAAGAAAATAAAGAAGGGGTGGTATTCTGAGATAGTAAGACAGAAGGACATGCAGGCAGGCAGAAGGAAAAAGACAAAAAGACAGGGAAAGAACATGAAACTAATAGCACTGAATCTACTGTCTGTCAGCAGTTACCTTCTTACTCGTGTTTGCCTCTGTTGAACTGTTGTATGGCAGAAATCTAAGCATGATCCTCCCAGGACAAAAGAAAATAAGACCATTACACACACACAAACACCACACACACACACACACACACACACATTTTGATATCTTCTCACTCTCATGTATTTGCACTTCCATCTCTTTTCTATAATTGAGCTTCATAAGGAACATACTGTGCGAGATATCTGTATCCCTAGTGCTTCTGAGATGCACAGGTGGAGGAGCAGGTAAAGAAAGACATATCTCTGCTAAACCGAAGTGAGATTTTATGTATAATAGTAGAGACGCTCAGTCAGTCCATCCCTGTGAACATAGCATCATCGTGCAAGTACTTCATAAGTTCAGGATTGTTTCCCGAATATTAAATTACACTGTGTGAAGACGTGACATGTAGTTGGTTTATAAAGATCTGAATGATGAATATCAAGTCAGGAAAAGTTTAGGCAGAACTTCTGGGGAGAGATGGTCCCAGAGAAGAAGTACAAGAGTTGCCAGCCAGACACAGAGGAAGCATAACATGCAGAAGTCTAAAAACCATGAGTCACAAGGGAGCACATAGATTAATAGAAATGGATTAATTTAAGTTATAAAAGTGAGCTAGAAACAAGTCTAGGATAAGGCCAAGCTTTCATAATTAGCAGTAAGTCTCCATGTTGGTTTTCGTGAACTGTCAGCCCAACAAAAAACTCTCACTATTAAGAACAGACAATGTGAAAACAAACAGATACTCTGATGCTCCCATGACATGATCAGATGATGACCGATGATACAAGAAGACTGATAGACCAATACCCTCCTGTTTATTGAAAGAGTTCCTATGAGTTATTCTGGTAGAAGAATCAGATTAAACTTTCCAATGATGCATAACATTGAGCAGCACTTCCTTATGAAACATAAAGTGAATATGAAAAACAGTGTAAACAACATCAAGGAAAAGTCTTACTGATTGGTTCAAGCCTTGAAGAACTGACATATAAAAGGTCCAAAATGCAACAGCCCATCATATTGTAAAAACCTCACCTGTTGACAGGAACCCTCCAACCACGCCTGACACCATGACCAACTCCTGCTGCTTGCCTTGCTGCCAGCCTTCCTGCTGCACGACCACCTGCTGTAAGCCCACCTGTGTGACCAGCTGCTGCCAGCCATGCTGCAAGCCCAGCTGTTGTGAGACTACCTGTTATAAGCCAACTTGTGTGATCAGCTCCTGCTGCACACCATGCTGCAAGCCCAGCTGCTGTGAAACCACCTGCTGCAGGACCACCTGCTGTAAGCCAACCTGTGTGACCAGCTGCTGTCAGCCCTGCTGCAAACCCAGCTGTTGCAAAACCACCTGCTGCACAACCACCTGTTGTAAACCATCCTGTGTGGCCAGCTGCTGCTCTCCACCATGCTGCCAGCCCAGCTGCTGTGAAAACACCTGCTGGAAAATCACCAGCTGTAAGCCAACCTGTGTGACCAGCTGTTGCTGCACACCCTGCTGTCAACCCAGTTGCTGTGAAATCTGCTACTGCTGGCCTTGCTGCTGCCAGCCCTGCTGCTGTGAGCCCTGCTGCTGTGAGCCCTGCTGCTGTGAGCCCTGCTGCTGTGAGCCCTGCTGCTGTGAGCCCTGCTGCTGTCCAACCTGCTGTGAAACCACCTGCTGCTAGACTACCTGATGTAAACCAATTCATATGACCAGTGGTGATTCCAGCCCTGCTACTGTGAGTCCAGATGCTGCCAGGCCTACTGATCATCAACTTTCCAACTGAACAATGCCCAGACAACTGTCCGTGTGTCACACCAGTCTCTCCATGTGGGCAGAAACTCCCATCGTCTTCTGAGGCTATGACCCCTTCGAAAGCCTATCAGTAACTTTGATGCAATGCAAGTCCACTCACTCTTACTCTCCTTTCTCTCTGCATGGAGCCCTGCCAGCATCTTCTTTTCTGAGATGGATCTTCCATCTTTCCCTGTGAATAACCAAGAAAGACACTTTAAATAAAATGATCAAAAAAGTATGGAAAATTAACAAATTCTTGCCTGTTATTCATTCCTCATTGTCTGTCGTTATTACATTTTAATAAATCACTTGATAGATTCTTGTGCTCAAAAACCTTTTTCATGTGCAATGTAATACAGCCTCTCTCTCTCTCTCTATCTCTCTCTCTCTCTCTCTCTCTCTCTCTCTCTCTCTCTCTCTCTCTCTCTCCAGTAAGCACACACACTCTTGTGAAAATTCCTTCCCTGAGTAGACTCAAACAGCATCTACTCCCTTTAAAGACCCCCCAACAAACCAAAATGGATTCCATAAAAGTTGACTCTGAGAACTCAATGAGTTTCCTGGGCTTCCTTACAGAGCACAGGTGAGGGACTGCTTACAGAAGCATAGGTGTGCCTCCCTGAAAAAAAGCTACACTGGAATGTCTTTACCTAGCAGCGTTGAGGTCTTTCCCATAGCTGAACAGATTGAGTCCCATCTCTAATCTTCTCTGGACCCTTCCCATGACCACCCACAGTTAGAGCAGAGTTGCATGCAACTGGTGGTAGGATGTAGCTTGGTGCTCATTTGAGGACTCCTGACCCGCCCACTGCTCTGTGAGGGATGTAAACAGTAACCAAGCCCTGATGGGATTATATTTTACAAAGTAACACAGCTGGATGCTACAAGATGGCAGTTCTTTGAGCTCTGAGAACAGTACTGTACAAGAGAGAGAGAGAGAGAGAGAGAGAGAGAGAGAGAGAGAGAGAGAGAGAGAGAGAGAGAGACTGGACCCAATGCCACCCGCCAGGTCTTTGGATCTTGGGCATGTCTTGTGGGAAGGAAGGAAGTCAATTTTCTTCAGTGGTCAGGGCTCTGAGACACCACTCCTGCTCTAGTACATGGTCCCATAATTGTGCACATGCAAGCAACACTAAATGGTTTCATGGGTATTAAATTAAAAAACCAACTAACACATCGGTGTTATTCCAGTATGTTTTATAAGTGCAAAAAAAAGCAAATGAGTGATAATTATCATGTAGAAAAACAGCAAAACTTCAAAACCTCCTACTCACTGTTTAAACTCTTCTTCCTCCATTTACCTTCACAGTGACCTGACTCTTTGGATGGGAACTGATTTACCAGTCACTATTCCTCTCTTCTCCTTGCCTCTAGAAAAGAGCAAATTTCCTTCAGAGCTTCGTGGGATGTTTTCTTGTCAGTCAACATTGAGTATGGGGTCAGTTACCCATAGTGTGGTATGCATGAAGATGAGAAAAATACAAGACGTTGATGAATGAGCAGAGGGAAAAAGAGTAGCCCAGCATTAGACTGATGAAGGCTACCTGGTGAGAGTGTGGGTTTGAGGAAGAAAAAGAAGGAAGGAAGAAAAGAAGGAAGAAAGGAAGAAAGGACCGAAGGAAGGAAAGAAAAGAAAGAAGGAAGGAAAGAAGGGTGTTTTCTGTTTTTCCTATCTAATATAACATTAGCTATATGTTTCTCATATAGCAATTATTGTTTTAAAGTAAGGCTCATCTATTCCTAATTTTTCCAGGACTTCTACCCTGAAAACCTTTCGAATTTTACCAAATATCCACTTTTTTGTATGATCATGTGATTTCTATCCTTAAGATTAGTCATGTGATGAATGACATTTATTGATTTGCATGTTGAACCAACTTTGCATTCCTTGGGTGAAATGCTCTTGGTCTTGATTATTATTGTCATTGATTATGGTGTTGTATTTGAGACATGGTCTCACTATGTAGGCCAGGCTGACCTAAAACTAGCAATGATCTATCCTTCTCTGCCTACAAAGAACTGAGAATAAAGGTGTGTGCCACCATGCCTGGCTACAACAGTTTTTCTTGTATATGTTCTTTTCAGCAGATTCCAGTTTTCAGTTTGCAAGGGTGTGGGTAGTGGGGTTGGAATATTCTGTTTATGTTCTTGTAAAATAGGTTTATCATTTTTTATTGTATCTCTCTGGTTTTGGTATCAAGACAATACTGCCTTCGTGGTTTGAATTTGGGACTGTTCCTTCCCCTCTTAGTCCATAAAAGAGTTTGAAAACATTGTTATTATGTCCTTCCCTAAAAAAATGATACAATTCGGCAGTGACTGCTTTCTGGGTATTTTCTTTGTTAGTAGATCTTTGATTAATACATCAATCTCATGTTCATTATGGGTCTTTTCTGAATTTATTTTAGGTAGGTCCTATATTCCTAGAAATTTATCCATTTTACCTGGTAGGGCAGAGTGGAGCTAAACAGAGAGCTCTCATCAGAAAAAATCCCAAATTGCCAAAAGACATTTAGAGATTTGCTCAACATCCTTAATCATCAGGGAAACACAAACCAAAATGACTCTGAGATACCATCTTACACCTGCCAGAATGGCTAAGATCAAAAATACTGAGGACAGCTTATGTTGGAAAGGTTGTGAAGTCAGGGGAACACACCTCCACTGCTGTTTGGAGAGCAAAATTGTACTGCCACTTTGGAAATCAGTGTGGCGGTTTCTCAGAAAATTGGGAATCAATCTACCTCAAGACCCAGAGATATCAGTCTTGGGAATATACCCAAAGGGTACACAATCACACCTCAAAGAGACTTCCTCAAAAATGTTCATAGCAAGCCAGGCGATGGTGGCGCACGCCTTTAATCCCAGCACTCGGGAGGCAGAGGCAGGTGGATCTCTGTGAGTTCGAGACCAGTATGGTCTACAGAGCTAGTTCCAGGACATACTCCAAAGCCACAGAGAAACCCTGTCTCGAAAAACCAAAAAAAAATGTTCATAGCAGCATTATTCATAATAGCCAAAACCTGAAAACAACGTAGATGCCCATCAACCGAAGAATGAATAAAGAAAATGTGGTACATTTACACAATGGAGTATTACTCACTGGCAAAATAATAACATCATGAAATTTGCAGGCAAATGAGTGGAATTAGAAAAAAAACATCCTGAGTGTGTTACCCAGACTTAGAAAGACAAACACAGTATGTATTCACTCATAAGTGTATATTAGATGTAAAGCAAAGGAAAACCAGACAAAAATCTGAAGCTCTAGTGAAACTAGGTAACAAGAAGGACCCTAAGAGGGACACATATATTGCCCTGGGAAGGGGAAATAGATGAGATCTTCTGGGTAAACTGGGGGTGGGGCAGTAAAGGGGAGGAAAGGGGATATTAGAACATGAAGGAACCGGATGGTTAAGTGGGGGAGGGATGGAGTAGGACAGTAATGAAAGAGAGATCTTGATAGAGACACTAAGAGGTTAGAGAGAAACTTGGTACTGGGAAATTCCCAAGAATCCACAAGGATGGCTCCAGATAACACTCATAGCTGTAGTGGATGGGGAACCCAAACTGGCCTTTCCCAGTAATAATATGGGTGAATAGCCCAACTATCATCATAGAGCCTTCATCCAATAACTGATTAAAACCAGATACAGAGATCCACAACCAAGCACCAGGCTGAGCCCTGGGAATCCAGTCAAAGGGAGGAAGGAGGGAATATATGAGCAAGGGAGGTCAAGATCATGATGGAGAAATCTACAGAGACAACTGAACCAAGTTAGTGAAAAATCATAAACTCTATCGTGACAGTTGTGGAGCCTCCATAGAACTGAACTAGGCCATATGTGGGAGATGGTGAAGCCTGGAATCTCTAAGGGACCCTTGATAGTAGGACTGGGATCTATCCTTGGTGCATGACATAGCTTGTTGGAGCCCAACCCCCTCTGGTGGAATGCCATGCTCAGGCTTAATGCAGAGTGGATGAACATGGTCCTGCCTCAACTTAATGTGCCAGACTTCATTGACACCCCATCAGAGTCCTTGCCCCTTGGAAGGAGCAGATAGAAGGTGAGTTTGGGGGGAGGTGAGGCGAGGTGGGAAGAGGGTTAGGAGGGAGAACTGTGGATGTGATGTAGGATAAGATTAAAAACTTAATTAATTAATTAAATATATATATAAAGAAATGAACATTTCAAAAAGAAATTGTACACTCAAATATCCACATAGTTACACATCCAAAAGAAATGTTTGTATCTACTTTCCGAAAGTGCCATATAAAGCTTTTAACACATCACTAATTTTAATTTACTTAAGTTTCAAAAATACAAAAATGCTGCATCTTTTTTTTAAGAAAGAAAATCGACATGGAGATTGTGTGAAATTCATTCATGGGGAGAAAACAGACCAATGAGAAAAAGAAAGAATACATCTTACAGTGAAAGATTCCACAATCATAAAATGAATCAAAAAGCCAATTGTAATTTTCATTTGCAAAGAGGCAATGAAATGAAAGGTGGCAAAATTGGCTGAAAAGTAAAGTTCTTGAAAAAGAATGAGAGGGTCACTGAAACAAGGGATGAATTTTTATTTCTTACCTGATTTGAGATGTCTGTCCATTGTAACATTATTTATTCCTTTCAAAACGTTTAAGACTTCTAAATGATTTTTAATTGATTTTTATTGAGCTCTACATTTTTCTTTGCTCCCCTCCCTGCCTCTCCACTCCCCTTTAATCCTCTCCCAAGGTCCCCATGCTCCCAATTTACTTTTACTTCCCATGTCTCTCTTAGGGTCCTCTTTATTGTTTAGGTTGTCTGGGATTGTGATTTGTGGGCTGGTTTTCTTCGCTTTATGTTTAAAAACCACTTAAGAGTGAGTACATGTGATAATTATCTTTCTGTATCTGGGCTACCTCACTCAAAACAATGTTTTCTAGGTCCATCCATTTGCCTACAAAATTCAAGATGTTGTTATTTTTCCTGCTGTGTAGTACTCCATTGTGTAAATATACCACATTTTCCTTATCCATTCTTCGGTCGAGGGGCATTTAGGTTGTTTCCAGGTTCTGGCTATGACAAACAAAGCTTCTATGAACACAGTTGAACACATTTCCTTCTGATATGATTGAGCACCCTTTGGATATATACCCTTTGGTATTTCTGGGTCTGGAGGATGGTTGTTTCCTAATTTTCTGAGAAATTACCACACTGACATCCAAAGGGGTTGTACCAGCTTGCATTCCCACCAGCAATGCAGGAGTGTTCCTTTTACCTCACAACATCTCCAACATAAGTGGTCATCGGGTTTTTGATCTTGACAATTCTTACAGGTGTAAGATGGAATCTCAGAGTTGTTTTGATTTGCATTTCTCAAGCTTCTGTAAAGACATGGTTAACAAGACAAAACAAAAGCCTACCATATGGGAAAAGATCTTCAGTAACCCTACATCAGACAGAGGTCTGATCTCCAAAATATACAAAGAACTCAAGAAATTGGTCATCAAAAGAACAAATAATCCAATAAAAAATGGAGTACAGACCTAAACAGTGAACCCTCAATAGAGGAATCTAAAATGGCTGAAAGACACTTAAAGAAATGCTCAACATCCTTAGTCATCAGAGAAATGCAAATCAAGTATCTTTACCACAAGCGCCTCTGTGATACACAGGTGGAAGAGCTGGTAGGGAAAGAGATGTGTAGGCAAATCTGAAGTGAGGATTTGGTGTGTTTTGAACAGAGACCCAACCAGCCCATCACTGTGAACATAGCACCATTGTGTAGATACTTCATAAGCTAAGGATTGTTGTGGGATATTCCTTTACACTATGTAAATTTGTGTCAACTGTGGTTGGTTGAATAAAGAACTGAATGGTCAGTAGCAAAGCAGGAAGAGGTTATACAGTACTTCTGGGGACAGAGATGTCTCAGGGAAGAAGAAAGTAAGTGTCACCTTCAAGATGCTGAGGAAGCAGAACATGCGGGAGAAGAAGGAAAAGCCATGAGCAGCGTGACAGCATGTAGAGGAATGGGGAAAGGTTAATCTGAGTTACAGGAGCCAGTTATAAACCAGCCTAAGGTAAGGTCAAGCTTTCACAATTAATAACTAGTCTCTATGTAATTTTCTTGCGAGCTGGTGGCACAAAAAAAAATCTGCCTGAAAAGGACAGACAAGATGTAGACAGACACTCTAACTCACCAAAGACAGCAAGAGCTATGAGAGGACCAGATGATGACCAAGGGTACAGTGAAACTGGCTGTATCATACCCTTCCTTTATTGAACGTGTTCCTATGAGTTAATTAGGAGGAAGAATCAGATTAAACTTTCCAATGTTGCATAGCATTGAGAAGCACTTCCTTATGAAACATAAGTGAATATGGAAAATGGTGTAAACAGCATCAAGGAAAAGTTCACTGATTGGTTCAGGCCTTGACAGCCTGACATATAAAAGGTTCAGAATGCAAGACTCACCATATTGTAGAAAACACACCTGTTGACAGGAACTGTCCAATCACTCCTGACACTATGGCCAACTCCAGCTGCTCCCCTTGCTGCCAGCCTTCCTGCTGCACTACTGCCTGCTGGAAGCCAGAATGTGTGACTAGCTGCTGTTGTACACCCTGCTGCAAACCCAGCTGCTGTGAAACCACCTGCTGCAAGACCACCTGTTGTAAGCCCACCTGTGTGACCAGCTGCTGCTGTCCACCCTGCTGCCAGCCCAGCTGCTGTAAAACCACCTGCTGCAAGACCACCTGCTGTAAGCCAACCAGTGTGACCAGCTGCTGTTGTCCACCCTGCTGCCAGCCCAGCTGCTGTGAAACCACCTGCTGCAAGACCACCTGCTGTAAGCCAACCTCTGTGACCAGCTGCTGCTGTCCACCCTGCTGCCAGCCCAGCTGCTGTAAAACCACCTGCTGCAAGACCATCTGTTGTAAGCCCACCTGTGTGACCAGCTGCTGCTGTCCACCCTGCTGCCAACCCATCTGTTGTGAAATCTGCTACTGCCAACCCTGCTGCTGCGAGCCCTGCTGCTGCCAGCCCTGCTGCTGTGAGCCCTGCTGCTGTCCAACCTGCTGTGAAACCACCTCCTGCTAGACCACCTGATGTAAACCAATTCATGAGACCACCTGGGGACCCTAGTCCTGCTGCTGTGTCTCCAGCTACTGCCAGGCCTATTGCGCATCAACTTTCCAACTGAACAATGCCCAAACAACTGTCCTTGTGCCACACTAGTCTTGCCATGTGGGCAGAAGTTCTCATCATCCTCTGAGGCTATGAGCACTTTGGTAGCCTATCAGTCACCTTGATGGAATACCGGTCCGCTCACTCCTACTGTGTTTTTCTCCCTATACAGAGCCCAGTCCTCAGCCTCTCTTCTGAGCCCAGATATTCTATCTTCATCTTTCCCTCTGAACAACCGAGAAAAATACTTTAAATAAACTTATCAAAAATGTATGGAAACTTAATACATTCTGGAATGTTATTTATTGCATATTGTCTGTCGTCATTACACTTTGATAAATCATTTCTTATTAGATTTACATGCTCAAAAGACTTTTTATTGTGTAATATAATGATGTTTCTCTCTCTCTCTCTCTCTCTCTCTCTCTCTCTCTCTCTCTCTACCACACAGTTGTTAAAATTGCTTTCCAACAGGAGACATAAATAACATCTATTACTTCTAAGGTTCCACCCAAAAACCTGTAGGAGTAAGGCCTGCTTGTTTATCCCAATCACACAGAACCGAAAAATAACCATACAGAAACTATATTGATTACAACACTGTTTGGCCCATTAGCTATAGTTTCTTATTGCATAACTTTTACATCTTAATTTAACCCATTTTTATTAATCTTTGTATTGCCACGTGGCAGTGGCTTACCAGCTAAAGTTCCAGCATGTCTAACTCCTACAGCAGCTCCATGGCGTCTCTTGAATCTGCCCTTCTTTTTCCCAGCATTCAGTTCTGTCTTCTCTGCCTACCTAAATTCTGCCCTATCAATAGGCCATGGAAGTTACTTTATTCATTAACCAAGAAAAGAAACTCATAGACAGAATGACCTCCCATACCATTTCCCCTTTTCTCTTTAAACAAAAAGGTAGTCTTTAACATAGTAAAATTTGAGAAAGAATTACATTTACAATGTTTATATCTACTTTATCTTTTACCATAACTATGGAAAACTATAACTATCTATCTATTCTTCAACTCCAACAAACACTCCAGGAGGATATACTATTACCATAGTAGACAGAAAGTGCATTGTAAGCAACTCCAAAACACTAGAATTGACAGAGACATCTCTTTACATGGACAGTCACCCAAAGTCTTCTGTACCATTGGGGCATCGATCTTCAGCCTACAGGCCCATAGTACCCAGCAGACTTTTCCATGAAGCAGGAAATTTCAAAGACTGCCTATATTGGCAATTTCTTCTATATCCTGCAGAATGTCTTGCAGACTCTTTCATGAAGCAGGAACCCAGAAAGATCATCTCACCTTTAGGTAAGTTTAGCAATCATTTCTCTGTGGATCCTGCATGTCTAATTCAGCAGTCCAGGCAAGAGCTGTTCTTTGCCCAAATGGCTAACCAATTCCATAAGAAGCCTCTTCATGCCCATCTTCCTCTTGGAGTAACTGGCATTTATTCCTCCTAAGGTCCCACCCAAAAACCAAAGCAGAATTCCACCAAGGTTGATTTTGAGGAATGAATGAATTTATTGGTCCTTTTTACAAAGCATAGATGAGAGGCTGCTTAAAGGAACTTGGGTGTGCTCTGCCTTAAAAGGCTACACTGTAATGTCTTTACTAGTATGGATGAGAGCTTTCCCATAACTGCACAGAGACCCATCCCTAGTCTTCTCTGGACCCTCCCTATGATCTCCCCCAGTAAGAGCAGAGTTGGACGCAACTGAAGGTAAGGAATAGCTGGATACTCAGGTAGGGACTCCTGGTCCTCCCACCTCCCTGTGAGGGATGTAAACAGTTATCAAGTCCTGGAGGAATCATCTCTTACAAAGGGCCACAACTTCAAGATGTCACTTGTTTAGCTCAGAGGACAATACTGTAGCAAACATGCACTAAAACACCACACACACACACACACACACACACACACACACACACACACACACACACACTGAACTGAATATCATCCATCATTTCTGGAACAAATGGAAGTTAACAGGCAATGGTTACCAACTCCTGGAAGAAAAAAAAAAAACTTTGGCTTCTTTCTTCCCTGACTCTGACTTGCAGAAATCTCATGTCAGTGGAATCACACAGCACTGGTCTTTCTATTGTGCTTTTTTCATCCATTTACAGTTGATGAGTATTTATGTAGCAACACATCTTCATTATTGTTAGTAGGATCAGTATAAACATAGCAGTGCTACTACTTCAGCTCTTCCTGTAACTGACCTGAGGTGACCTGTGAAAATAGTTTGCCATTCTCTTGACCAAGAAAAGCCACAAAAGCATTCAATAGCTTCAAATGGACACAAATGAAACTGACTGGTGGTACAAAGGTGACACTGTTAATGTGTCTATGGCAAACAGAGGAGATGGACCCGATGTCAATGATCTAAACAAAACACTGCATTTCTGCTGTTACGGCTTAGAAATGCAAAGACTGAGGTTAATCTCAAGGAATTGGATGTAGTTTCTTAGCTCATTAACTATATCTAGGTGAACAAACTGTATAAGATAGGCCATGGTACTTACTAAGTTCACAGTTGGATAACTTGAAACCCTCCCTTAAGAGGAAATACCATGAATCCTTCCCCCACCTTGCTGGGGTTTTGTCTGGCTTGATCTTAGACAGATCTTGACAAAAGGGAAAGTTGTTTTTAGTTTAGGGATGAGGGTGCTTAGAACTTACTCATGCTCCAGTACATGGTCTCACTCTCCAGCACATGCAAGCAACACTAAATTGTTTCAATGGCTATTAAATTTAAAAAAAAAAAAAACTTACCAATCATTGATAATTTTATTCCACTAAGTTTGATAAAATAAAAAAGGAGATGAGTGATAACTGCTTGTAGAAAAACAGCAATGAAAGTTCAAACCCACTACTCACTGTCTAAACTCTTCTTTCCTCGTTTATCTTCACAATGACCTCATACTTTGTTTGGGTGGGAACTGATATACCAGTCACTACTCCCCTCTTCTCCTTACCTATAGAAGAGCACATTTCCTCCAGAGCCTCATGGGATGTTTTTGTGAGTCAACATTGAGTGTGATGTCAGGTATGCAATTGGGACATGCATCAAGGTATGAACAAAAACAGTGACTGTGATGGATGAGCAGAAGGCAAAAAAAAGTACCACAGCATTGGTCAGATAGGTCTTCCTGTTGAGATTGTGGGTGTGAAGAAAAAATAAGGAAAAAAGGGAGGGAGAAGGGAAAGAATGAGGGAGTGAGGTAAGGTAGGAGAGAGGGAAGGAGAAAAAAATAAGGAAGGGTGTTTCCAGTTTGCATTATCTAATATAATATTAACTGCATTTTTCTCATATAGCCTTTATTATTTTGAAATAGGGCCCATCTACTCCTATTCCTCTAGGTTTTCTACCATTAAAACATTTTGAACTTTATCCAATGCCTTTTCTGTACCTTTTCTAAATTATCATGAGATTTCTAACCTTAAGACTAGTCATATGATGAATTACACTTACTTATTTGCATTAGAACCAATCTTGCATTCCTTGGATGAAATCTACTTGGTCTTGGTTGTTATTGTTATTAATGATGTTGTTGTTTTTGAGACAGGAGCTTACTATGCAGACCAGGCTGACTTAGAATTCACTATTATCCACATGCTTCTGCCTCTCAAGTACTGGGAATAAAGGCATGTGCCACCATGCCATGCCAAACTTGCTTATTCTTGATATATGACATTTACAGCATATTCTAGAGTTCAGAATGCAGGGTAAGAGGGCATTAGGGTCAAAACATTCTGTTTATGTTCTTGGAAAATAGGTCTATCATTTTCTTTTACATTGTTCCTCTCTGTGTTTGGTGTCGGGATAATACTGGTTTCGTGGGGATGAATTTGGTACTGTTCCTTCATTTTTAGTTCATAAAAGAGTTTCAAAAACATTGCTACTAGGTAGTTCCTGGAACTTGATGACATTCAGCAGTGCCTATGTGCTGGCTTTTTTTGTGAGAATATCTTTAATTTCTGCATCTGTCTCGTGATTAATTTTTGGACTGTGCTGTCTTTATATTCATTAAGCCTAAGCTTTCCAGCTTTGGGGAAAACCAATTTTTGCTGTAATACTAATAATCTGAATTCCACTGTAGTCTACTGTAACTTCTCCCCCTATTTTACAATCTTAATAATTTTGATATTCACATTCTTCATTTTGATTAATTGGGACACAGGTTTGTCAATCTAGATAATCTATGCAAAGAATCAACTCTTTGTTGGTTGATTGTTCTTTTAGTCTCCAGCTCATTAATCTCTGCCCTACTTTTTGTTATTGTTTCCAAATACTAAGTTTTAGATAGCTGCTTGTTGTATTCCTAGCTTATAAAGGTGCATCATTAAGTTGTTTATTTAAGACTTCTTTGAGGCTTTGTGTGTGGGAACACTTGTAGCTGCAATTTGGGAATGCCTTAAATGTTCCCCAGAAGAGCTGATATCCCATACATTGATTCTCATTTGAGTCTAAGAAATTTTGATTTCTTCCCTATTACTTCAATGACCCAACTGTTCACTCAAAAACACTTCAGTGTCTAATTATTCATGAAGTTTCTGTGCATGCTCTTGCTATTGGTTTCTACCTTTATTCCACAGCACAATTGAAGGATACAAGGATTTGTCTTCTTTTTGAATCTGTGAAGATTGCTTTGTGGCCTATGATGTGACAAATGTTTGGAAAGATTCCAGGTACTAATGAAAAGAATGTGTATTTCTTACATGTGGAGTGGGATATTCTGTATATATTTATTAAGTCCAGTTGACATATGATAGAATTTAACCCTAAAGCTTCTTTGTTAAGGTTTACTCTGATATTCTATGATATTGTGGTAAAATATGAGAGTGGGGCCCTAAACTCTCCCAACTGTCATTGTATTGGGAACATCTCCCCTTAAAGCTGAAATGAGACAAAGGTCCCCACAACCTCCACTCTTGTTGTGTATTATGCTTAGTCTCAGTCAGTGCAGCAAGACAAAAGATAGATATCAAAGGGACAGCAGCGTCAGAAGAGGAAGCAAATTATGTCTGTTCAGAGGCTACATGGTTTTATTATTAAAAGATTTTACAGACTCTAAAGAAAACTCTTATGTTTGGCAAACACTTTTATATGTAAGATACAAACATATAAAAACAGTAGTTTATATAGTAATAATGACCCCACTGGGGGAAAAAAGATAGGAAAACCATTCCATTCAGGATAGGTCCCCACAAAGTTCTTACCAATGACTTTCACCAAGGATGTGAAGGACCGGGGCAATGAAGCTTTGAAGAAGATATCATATGATGCAGAAACCTTCCATTAAGAAAACACTTCAGGACATGGACATGGGCAATAAGATTCTCAACAGCTCTTCAGTAGATCAGACAATAATAGCAACAAATGGCAAATATAACTGCATCAGATTAAATAGATTCCTCACAAATAATGACACAGTATACCAAGTAAAATACAGGCAACGAAATGGAAAGATATAAGAAAAACCCATTCCCAACTATTCATCCAGGGATTCACATCCAGAATATAAGATGATTTAAAAAATTAAAAACAAAAATGAAAGTAACCTAATCCATAAATGGGAAAATAGTCTGAAAATGTAAAAAGAATAATACAAATTTCTAGTAAATTCATGAAAAACATAAACAGTCATCAGGGAAATGCAAATCAAAACTATTTATTAAATTCCATCTCTCCCAGTCAGGAAGGCTGGTATCAAGGAAACAAATAATAGGATAT